TGAATGAATGAATGAATGAATGAATGAATGAATGAATGAAGGAAGGAAGGAAGGAAGGAAGGAAGGAAGGAAGGAAGGAAGGAAGGAAGGAAGGAAGGAAGGAACTGTTGAGTGTCAAGACTTGGTGGGGACTAGAATCCAAATCTCCCCAGGCTCATGTTCTAAATATTATGCAACGGAAAGTGACAGAAAAGATCACACTTCAGCAGAGGTGAGGGGATGGGTGGGGTGGGGGGTGGCAGGTTAAGCCAACCCCCCCACCCCCACGTGGGTCCGTTCCAATCTAGCAGCCCAATGTCACATAGACCTCCCAGCCGTCCACGAGGCCCCCTCGAGCCCCAGAGGGCTTCCCCCCCCCAACAACCTCTGATTTTTGACTTTGAAAAGCCCCTCGGGGGGCCCCCTTCCGGGTGTGGGTGGAGAGGAGAGAGGCCACCCCGTTTTGAGGCACGGGCGCTTTCGAACCCAGGACGCGGCGCCGGAGAGGGGGGGTTCGGGCGGCCTCCTCCCGGCTTTTTTTTTCCTCCCTCCCCCCGTCGTTTCTCCTCACCGGGGCTTCTCTTGGGCGTCGATCTGGAGGTTGACGTCGTCCATCCAGAGGAGGAGATCCCGCACCGTGCGGAAGAAGCGGAACTTGTCCACCGTGTCGGTGAGGAGGTGCCGCCGGCCGCTGCTGCTGCTGAGCAGGTCGGCCCAGGCCTCGCTCACCGACTGCTCGTGCCGCCGGATGTCGTCCGCCTTCTCGCCGGCGTAGGCCTTCTGCAGCCGCGAGGCGTCGTCCTGTACCTGCTTCACCTGCGAAGACCCCGAAGGAACCAGGTGACGTGACTCGGTGTCTCCCTCCGTCAAAAGTCATGCTTAAATGTTCTTTTTTTTTTTTAACATTCCAAGGTTTTACAGTGGTGCCTCGCACAACGAGCGCCCCGTAGAGCGATGAATTCGCTCCACGGAGACGTTTTTTCGATTGCTAATGCAATCGCAGAGCGACGGCCCCAACGGGGGGCTTACCGACCTTCGCTTTGCGACCTGCCAATCAGCTGTTCCGCGGCTTCAGAATGGCCGCCGGAAGCCCCAAAATGGCCGCGCGCAGCGTTTTCGCGCCCTCGTTAACCGAGGGGAGGGTGCGAAAATGGCTGCTGGCCATAGAGGAACATCGCTGTACGGTGAGTAAATCAGCCGACTGGAACGCATTAAACTAAGTTTAATGCATTCCAATGGCTTTTTTCTTTCTGTACAGCGATGTTTCACACAGCGAGGGTTAATCCGGAACGGATTAACCTCGCTGTGCGAGGCACCACTGTACATTTTATTGATCTACCGAACCTATTTTTATCCCGCTTCTCTCTCTTTAGAAAAGAACTCGGGGGGCGGCTGACGTCATCAAAAGGATGACACGCGGAAGCTAAAAAAAACCAGGAGATCTACAAATATTTTAAAAAGAATGAAAGAAGGATGAACAGGAAAATAGAGGAATAAAATCGACACATTTAAAACATTTTTGTTTCTTTAAACTATTTTTAACCGCGCTTCTCTCCTCGAAAGGACCCCAGGCGGGATTAAAAATAATTTTAAAACGATGGACGGAAAAAAACCCACAGTCATTTAAAAAACAAATTGATTTAGACCACGATTTAAATTTTAAAAATCAGTCTTGTTATTTAAATCGTAAAAAAAAATCAAATCATTATTTAAATAGGGATTGAAACCAGTTTGATATTGACCGACGATCTTTCCTTCCTGAAACGGAGGAGCTAGAATCGGAACCTTCCGAACTCACGACTGCGAGAGAGTCCCTCTGATTCAGCTTTTTCCGGCCGCTGATCTGACCCACGTTATCGGCACGACTCTCCCCTACCCCGCAGAGGTGCTCACCTGCGTGCTCAGGGCCTGAATGTCGTGCTCGTAAGCGCTGTGCATCCGCTGCATGGCCTCGGCGGTGTTCAGATCCCGGCCCACCTCGTCCGGCAGCTGCTTCTGCTTGTTCTGGATCTGGCTGAGGGTCTCGCGGGCGTCGTGGTAGAAGCGGTGGAGCTCGTAGGAGGCGGCCAGCATCTGGCTCCGGGTGTCAATCAGCTCCAGCAGGTCCGCCCAGGCTTCGTTCAAGCTGTCTTTCCCCGAGTGGCCGGCGGAGATCAGGCCGTCCGCCAGCCGGTTGACGGCGTCCACTCGCTCCTGACCGATGGTGCTTGTATCGCGTGAGAATTCCCGGAATTTGTCCCTTAGCATCTGCAGGATTAGTGGCATTAGGAGTAGGAGCATCATCATCATCATTATCACCATCTTCATCACTACCGTTGTTGCTGGCAACTACTTACTCACGTACGTGTTTCATTTACATCCTGCTTTCCCTCCGCCGAGCCTAAACTAATCTGAAATCAGTCTGACTTAATACTTTTAGTGCCCCTCTAAAATAGAACGGAAGGAGAGCGTTTGTGACCCAAAAGAACCAGAGTTCCTTTTGCCCATCAGCAGCGGTAAAAATTCAGCAGGATCCTGGTATCTGCCGGGGATTAATTCTAAGCCCCCCGCGGATGCTGAAAACCATGGATAATAGTGACCATTCTGCACAGCGTGGTAAAAGAAAGAAAAAAATCCAGAAAAAAGAATTTTCACCATGTATTCCCAGAACTGGCCACCTGAGGGAGCCAGAGAGTGTTCTTCAGTAACTATACTATGTAGCATGTTCTCTGGCTCCCTCGAATGGCCAGTTCTGGTAATACATGATAAAAATAATTTTTTTTCCTTTTACTATTTTGAGCTATTACAAATTTAAGACAGCTTGATCTAGTCATAATCCTTGTTCAGACTGAAAAACAGCTTGAAAGCCCAGCTGCCCACTTGCATATCGAAAGCCGCAGATATCGTTTTGATCCGAGAACCGTCGTCTGAAAACCCACACCGGCCGGATGCTCACCGTGACGTGCTCGTAGTCCTGGCCGAGCTCGTGGGAAGCGGCCACCACCTCCCGCTCCGAGATCCACTGCTCCAGGTCGTCCACCTCCCGCTTCAGCTGGCAAAGCCGAAGCTGCTCCTGCAGCTTGGCGCGGCGCTCCTCCGCCAGATCCTTCAGGCTGGCGTACAGTTTGTCCACCTGGCCCTGCCGGAGGTTGATCCGCTCGCTAACAGAGAGGGAACGGGAAGCAGAGTGAGAGAGACGCATTTCAGATCTATACCCTAGGACTGCGGTATCCACGGGGGATCGGGTTCGGTTCCAAGCACTTCCCTGCGGATGCTGAAATTTGTGGATAATAGCAAACCCTATAGATTGCGAGGTCTCCAGT